TTTTCGTGTGTGCACGAACACACATATTTAATTGATGGTATCTGCTGGAATCTGGCCCCAAATTGTATCTCTTCTTATCAAAGGTGTCATTATCGAGCAAAGTCAGGTGCAAACTAGAGACAAAAAACTCAGCTACAATCCTTGTCCTACTACATGTACCACGCCAAATAGGCCCACATGTTTTGTCACAACTTAAGTCTAGAAGATGTTCTTTAAAAAAACATGGAATCTGTGCGTCCTACCTGGGTCGGTAAAGTAGGCAGTGATGGTGAATTTGTCGCTCTCTTCAATGAAGTATTTTCTGACGTCCTCACTCATACTTGATGGAAAGGTGCCAGCCTTCTTAGGAATCTAAAATTGCCAAGGATACATTTGAAAAATAGTTATAATTTATTCACATTATGTATCAATTGATAAACATTATCGACATTTAAATTAGATAGCCACAGATAGCTGAAAAAACAAAAAACAAAATATCGCAGTTATACAAGAAAATGATGATAACTATAAGATGCCTGGACTTATTTTCACTATGAGGCACTTACGGGTAAAGATACCCAAATTCCTTTTTCGTCTTAACGTGTTATAATACTCACCCCAGCTTGTATACCAGCAATGTAGCCGTTCTTATCAAACAACAACATCACCGCTGTATCGCCGTCCTTGATGTAACGGTTGCCCATGAACTGGCTGTTGCCTGGGGAAAACAAAAGGTAAAGGTCTGTATTAAAGGTGAAAAATTTTTAAAAAAATGGAGAGCAAGCAAACAGTGTCAGCCCCCAGCATACAAAATCAGGATAATTTCAATAAAATTTCAAATTGATTTTTTTTTCTGATCACCGCGAGAATTGGAAGCCAGTCCCCCCCCCCCCCAAAAAAAAAAAAAAAAAAAAAAATTAATTCATTCATTCATTTATAAAAAAGAGATTTATATATTTAAAGCTGAAAATTAATGAACACGCAAACACAGGCATACACACCAACCGAAACACTTGGCTTTCCGATTTCAGAAACTTCTTCATATTTTGCCTAGAAAATAAAATTCAAAACTTACTGCCGCATCTAGTATCCAGTTTCCATCCATAGTACACAGCATCTTTTACTGTTCTTGGCATCGAGGAAAACGAGTTCCCGAAAGGATTAATCCCAAACGTGACTAAATTAACAAAACAACAGATAATATCACTTATTGCTTTGATGGTAAAAAAGCCCTTCGAAACCATGCACGGGTTTTCATTGAAAAGAGAAAAGATGTTAAATTCTCTATTATATTAATAAAAGTATCCTGTATTACAATAGACCTAGGTGGTTAATTTTTTATCATTTATATAACACTGTCTTAAGATTAAGTGCTTTTATAAGGATAGAACAAAATCATAAGATCAAATACAGGTAAGTTCTAAAACTTCACGTTAGACCTTTATAAAAATGTTTGTTTTTATTTTTCCAGAATTATTTTATAAACGTTGAAAATGATAATGATTAAAATCTCATTACCTTTCAGGTCGTCCCATGCTGGACCTATCAAATAATATCAAAATGTCTTTTTAAAGAAAACAATATTAAATTTCTTTAGAAGCTCTTAATAAGGTCTAAAGCAGAAATACATTAAATTATATGATTTCTCTTAACTTTATCAAAGAACTAGAAAAACTGTTCACTTTGCATCTAATTTAAGTAGACAAAGAGAATCAATTGACTCTAGGATATTTTAAGTTTTTCCAAGATTTGGTTTACTCACCTCCCCCAAAAAGCCAGGCCTGGCCCGACGCCAAGAGCCCGAAAACGAACACAGCTGTGCTAATGGACATGGTTCTTCTCTGCCTCCAGATAGTGACCATATACACACATCCACGTGCACATATAGGACTTTATTTGATAAACCCTACCACAGATGACCTTTCTCACAGATCTCAAGAGGAGATTTAGGCTTCGTTCACATGCAATGTCTATTTTCTATTTTCTATTTTCTATTTTCGGTATGTCTTATGATCACGGTCTGTGCACTAAATATCCCGCGGCGAAATTACTGGCAGCGCGAGCAGGTATTTAGGGCACAGACCGTGATCATAAGATAGCGCAAATAGNATCAAGAAACCAACCTGAGGTTCATCAATCCTAAAATCACCAGTACCTTGTACACTACAGGTGGACATTTATGTGCAGCAGTCAATATCGCAAAATTTGTCTCATTTTTATTAGGCCTATATGTAAAAAAATGCCCGACAGCCATCCCGAGTTACAGATTATATTGCGAACTCTTGACTTTTTTGTCAGTATAATTTGATACTGATAATCTCATAATGGTAATAATAGATTACAGTAAGAGATCCTTAGATTCTAAAAACAAGGGAGTCAGATAATTTTTTTTCTACGCAATTAAAACTAAAAGCAAAGCAATTAAGATTCGAAATTAAAATGTTTTTCAATGGAGTGATATTATATGTTCGAGATATAGTCCCCTCTAAATCAAAATTAGCCCTACCAGTAGTTTAGAACTATAAACACACGTAGGGAAAACGTCCATTTTTTTAAAGAACTTCTTTTGATTTGCCGGGTGCAGGTTTGAAGTTAAAGTAATTTTGAGAAGTAGATAAATCCTCGATATTTCGAGAGACACATTCTAACTCAACATTTCAGCCTGTTTAGCTCGCAGAAAAATAAGTATTACCACATTGCGACAGTTGAGCAAAGCGCACCAGTGACGCAATCACATGTGCCTGGGAGCCGCCATCTTTAAATGAAGAAAATAGAATTCCGGGCAAGCTAATGCAAATAAGCAAATATGCCGAAGAAACAGCAAAGGAACGGATTTTATTTTTACATGCAGGATCTGATGCCAGAACTACGAAGAGAGGGTAGAGTTTTTCCAAATGGAATGGCGGACGTGGTGCCTGTTGCTCACCCTCGATGGAAGGTGACAGCTTCCTTCAACATAATTCACGGCACTTGCACATGCAGTGACCTGTGCCTGTTTTGAACAGATTGTTGTAATAAATGTTTGGGTTAAAGAAACTCTAAATATATATAATGGATTTTTTTCAATGTCATATTGATACAGCGAAGTGATACAAAAGCACTTCCTTCGTGATGATTATTTCTTTTAGCTATATTTTTATTATTATTTAATTAAAGTTTGATTATCTGTCATTGCAAGCATAAGTGACTTTGATCGGTTGATGGATCCCAAAACCACATTTTACGACCTTTGTGATTGCACACTCGTCTGTCATAATGCCAAAAGTTGATAAGCTTTAATATCCTTATTGTTACTCATTTATAATTTTAATATAACTATATATATAATTAAAATTATAAATGTACCCATGCAGTACTGCACTGTGCTATAGAGAAACCATAGGTATAAGGTAAAAAAATCAAATCCAGTAGAAATGACAATCTAGAAATGACACAAACCAAAACCATGTCAAAGGCTACATGTCCATTAAAAATGTACATAAAACTGAAGAGATAGCCAGAAGTGGGTTTATTAAAAGGAGCCATGCCACTAGACCAGTATTTTTAGATCCACTTTGATGCCAATCTTGAGTCTGCTTTTCTCAAGTTTTTCTGGCTAATTTCAGGCAGTATTACATTATTCATGACCACATTTTGTAATGTGGATATCTTATACGGAGCATTAATTTTTTTCCAGATGCTTTCAGAGCAAGATAAAGCGAGGTATGAACAGATGGCTAAGGAATGGAAAGCCAAGATGCGTGGTGCAGAGGGAGACAAATACAGAGTTGATAATGTGGGGAACCTCCTCAGTGTAAGTGTATCACATGGTGGGCATCTCGATAGTCCAAAAAATGGTAACATTTTCATCAGTTTTTTAATCAAGGGTTCATTGGTCCGAAGGTTCTATAGTGAACATTCTGACCAATGAACCTTCGGACTATTGCTTTGGCCCCTTCACATTATTATGTGGGGAACCTCAAATTATCTTTACTAATTACAAAATAACAATTTTTGAAAATATTTTCTTTTAGGAAAGAAAAGATGAAAAGAAAGAATATGATATAGACAGGATGAGGGAAAGAAAACAAGTGAGAACCAAATGGCCTGCTGGGCAAGGTAAACTTCATAATTTTATACTGTAAAGGGTGTTATATGCCATGCATTTTCTAACTGTGTTTGTTCTAGCCCAATTGATAATTCTACCCATTGCAATTAGTGATACTTGATGTAAACTGAGCATATTTTACTTTGAACAGAATAGTTGAATTTATCTATTTATATTTATTTTTGCATTTGGCAAATATAAACGTGTTACTCAGTTGATGAAATACAGCCCCAAATTTTATTGCCTGTATTTATGAAAATCTTCTAAAATAAAAATATTCACTCAGTAGACATACCAAATTATTGAAAAATAAATACTGCAAGTTATTTCACAAGCAATATTTGATTCTTTCTATTCATTTCTAGGTGTAATCCATGAAAAGTTCTACTTCATCAGTTTCCAGTACCTGTGTGAGACGGAAGAAGGATATTTTATTCCAGTGGAAGTAGGATTGATAGAGTACAGTCTGAACAATGGCATTACCAAACATCTACACAGGATGATAGAACCAGGTACTTTTAATTAGTTTTCAAATTACATCATAAATTCAAGTGTGAAATGAGTGGGTTTTTTATAACCATTTTTTTGTGTTCTTAGTGAGATACACATGCTATCACCCATTGGCTTCTTCTTAACTGTTCTTTTTGGCATAGAGTCCCTAGCGATAAGATATGATTTTCAGGATCTGGTTTTCCTCCTTTTGATAGATTGCCCTTTGTCTTTCAGGTCCTATTCCCACAGGATACAGATATACATGCCAAAATCACAGTAAGTCTTTTGTTTAAATCTTTCTTTGTATCATTCTTTTTGTTTAGTTCATTTTTATCAAGAATTTGTTTCATTTGAACATAACAGTTATTTACACTGAGCTTTTGGTCTAACTTTGATAGGATTGTTTTTTTTTTTTTTTTTTTTTTTTTTTTTTTTTTTTTTTTGTAAAGATGACAGAGTGAAAGTGTTGAATTTTGCCACAAGATGTTGAATTTATGAATTGATATGTCTGTGTAGTAAATGTATAAATTCTCTATAATTTTTTTCAGGTGATGAAACACATCAAATTCCAATAGAAAGGTTTGAATATGCAGACAAAAACTACATGGGTCTATGGATTCAGATGGAAAACTTCTTAAATCCCAACCAAGAGAAAAAAGAATCTCCACCTTTATATTGTCAGGTATATGTTGGTTGGTGTTCACTGTGATAGAAAATTAAGAGAGAATCTATGGAAGTAAGCAAGTCTCTCATAAAGTATGGTGTCAACTGTCACAGACTTATGAAGTCCACAGTAGTGTCTGTGTGTAAGACTGCATTCCCATAGATTTTTAGGTCGATCTATCCCCTGGGTAGTCTCACTAGATTGCTGTCAGCTTAACCGGCTTAAATGTCCGTCACGCCTACTAAAAGCTGTAAGGGGGTAATTAACTATAGTGCACGCTTGGCTGACAGCAATTTAGCGTGAACCCTCAGCTAGTTAGGTCAATCCAGTTGGATCTAAATCTGGGAATGCAGTCTTACAGTAGATGTTAGCACTTGCCAGTGGGACAGCACGACAAACTTTCCTTAATTGCCACTGTTCAGAAAAGTTGATTGACACATTGATGTATTTCATAAAATGGGCAGACCAAGGTGTCAGTTTGTGTGCTTACCAGGGAGTGTAATGAAATGAAAAAAGTAGTAGTTATTCTTGATGTTTACCCAGTTATGTTCTTTTATAGAAAAGGAAGTAGATTTATTTCAGAAGTGCTCATAAAAATAGATTTTATATTTATTTTCAAGCAATTCATAATGTTTCCTTTACTGATCATTTACTTTATTTTTTAGAAAGCTGAATGGAAATGTGTGAACAGTTGTTTGGAATGGCTCCATGCACATGCATGTCTTGGATATGCGAACAGGCTACGAAAAGTCTACGAGCTGGACGGATTAGTACAGGATCTCTACGCACATTCATCTGCCTCCACTGCTATCGGGGAATGCACTGATCTTATCACTACATCTGCTTATGACTATGAGATTAACACAAGGTAGGAATTACCGTCTTAAGGATGATTTGCTTTTATCCAAGTGACTGTTTCTTATAAAAAAACAATTACAAATTGTTGGAAAAATGGGGTCATATTTATCATTTTCTTTAGGCATTGTTGTTTGTTCTTTATTTAGTGTTTTGTGAAATTAAAAGCTGTCAAGCATGAGTTAAGGTCTTCTTTTTTACACACATCTGTTTTAATTTGAATTTCCAGTCAATCTTGCCTCCAGAAATGTTCCCAGATGTTAATTTTTTCCCTTATTTTCTGTTTTCTGTTATTTTCTTATGTTCAATTTAAAAAAATAGACGGAGAGAGAGATTCTATTATTTGTTGAAATAATTGACTTACAGTTTTAACATGTAGGTCAAAAGCAAGAAAGCCTGGATGATGTACAATTTTCCAGAGGTTTCATATTTGCCCCCATGTTTTAAATCTAGATAGATTGAAGGTAAAATGTAAGTTATTTGATATGAGCAATTTAGAATTATTTTACCAGGTGTGATTACCATGAAGATAAGGAGGTCAAGCACTGTGCTCTGGCTACTGTTCGCAGATTTGCGTAAGTGTAGATTCATTTGTTAAATTTGTGATAATTGTTTTGGTATTTTTATGATATGTCAGAGTCTATCTTTACTCTCTCTTCACGGCAAAACAAAAATTGTGTTTTTCATTAATTTGTACGATGGTTGAATTTCTTGTTTGATAATTAAGATATTTACATTGTTTCTATTGAGTTGGGGGAAGATAAGAAAACTTGAATGAAATACATGTATTGCCCTCTTAGTTGTTAGTAGAAATATTACATATACTGTGTTAGGCAACTCAAGATGTGATAGAATTACATTTCAGCATGACTACTCATTGAATTTTTTGGATGAATTGTTACACACAGTACTGATCTCATCCAAAGTATGCATTACCTCTTTTATCTCATTCTATACACAAACGCACTGGTATCTCAGACTTTTGAATTTGTTGTGAGACGCTTTTGTAATCTCATCGCACCTTTCAGTCAAACTTATAGAAATTTGTCTGAAAGCAAGACTATTATAATGTAGAATTATTGTACATTCCAGATACGCTCTCTCAGATTCCTTATCAGAAATCTATGACTTTGAGATTACTGCGCAGCACCTACCAGTCCGCCCAGATGATCAGCCAGCCTACACCTTGATAGAGCCTGCGTCTATTAAGATCGCCCCACTGCCCGCGGGGAGGAACAGAAGTAACCAGTCCCCATCCAGGGGTAGTCCAAGCAGGGGGAGAGGACAGGCCAACACCAGCAATAATGGCAGTTTTCCAGCCAGGGATTTTAGACTGAATCAAAATGTTAGTATTGTGAGAAATTGGTGATTATGTTTGGCTGATGTTTATTGCTTTTCAGTTTTTTTTCTATTGCATGGCCACAGTTATTATCATGACATTAATCTGGTGATCTCTTAGTGTAATTTTCTTTTTATTCTCCCCCCCCCCCCTCTCCCCTGGAGTTTGTTCAGTTTTTTTCTTTAAAATGTTAATATTTTATTTGTAGAAATATAAAATTGTTCAGAAAATACAGTGAAGAAATAAATATCTATTGTTTATAGGAAGCAGGTTCTCAGCTTCAGCACCAGCAGTACGTGGAGCCATCTCAGACAATACGTAGACCAAATGTGCCAGGGGTGGCAGCACAGTCAACCTTCCCACCAGCTCCAAGACAAGCCCCATGGGCAGCCAAACCAGTTGTAAACCAGGGTCAAGCTTTGTCGCAGTTAGGGGCAGGTGAGGGTTTAAAAGAGTCATTATAAGGATAATGATAGGTAAAATTCCACTCCATTTGCATGCTTAGCCATGTCTGCTTGATTTAAAGATCATTAGAGAATTTTTATGTACAGACACAGATGTGTCTGTACATATTGCCATCACCTGCGTCTGTCGTCGCCGTCCCTGTCGCNCTGCCTTGTTGTATTTGGTTTTAGAGGACTGTCACGAGGGTATCATAGTGGAAATTTTTAGCTTTGTCTCATTTTCAGGTTTCCTTAAAATTGCCTATGAGCTGGCAGCTGAAATAAAACTTGTTTAAAAAATATGTCAAACACTTTTGATTTGAATGTGGATATTGACCGTAATAAGTCATAATTGTACCTTGAAACAAGGTGTGATTTATCTCGTACATGAATGTGAGAATGTGAAATTTAAATCAGGGGCCTTTATTTCAAGGAGCTCCCCGAGCTGCTGCACCTGCACCTCATCCTCTCCAACAGATGTCAGCACCAGCTCCATGGGCTCAGAAAGCTGCTGGGCTGCCAAGAGGGGCCCAAAACACGTCTGGAACTGCTTTGCCTCCTAGAAATCCATCTTTCCATGGAGATTTGCAAGATGCCGAGGAGTTTCCTAGCCTTGGAGGTAATTATGTTCTGAATGTCAGTAAAGAAATAGAGTTTTCTCTTTTAATTAGTATTTCTATGCCATTTTTACAAAAATCCTATTTATAATACTATTTGTGTATAGGAATTGCTCTCCCTGAGATAAAATCTGACAGTGAATTTTAAAAGCTGATGCTGTACCTTATACCATAGGCCCCGCTTCCAAAGCAGTGCCAGCACAAGCCCCAAAGTTTGCTGGGAGAGGGTCTGCAGCGCCACCTGCCCAAGCTGCTCCCAAACCACCAGTTTCCTGGAGTTCACAAGGTAAAACAAAGACTTAGCCCAGCCTTTTCAATACACACTATGGTGGCAAATATATTATTGGTAGCTTGTATGCCCCTTGTGTAGTGTATTCTATATGTGCACAGTACTGTGCTTGTAGTTGATTGTAACTCCTGGACCTTCTGATATACTGGAATAAGTGCTGTGGCCCACTCTTTTAAACTTTGAACTTCCACTGAAAAAATTATCATACCAGGTTTTTTTTTTCACACTCCTTTATATACAATGCCTTTACATTGTGGAGCTCTTCTGACAGAAGGGTTATTTTTGGGTTTTCAGAATGTTCATGACTGTGGATAGTTCAGAATGTTTTGTTTTATAAAAGTTGTCTAATTCTTACTGATATATTTTATGTTCCAGTGCAATATCCAAGTGCCAATACTCTGTCAACAGTTGCTCCACTCCAAACAACTGGTAAGTAACTTTCTAGAGCTCAAACTGGGAGAACTTAACAGTGATGTAGATCGATTATTGTAAGCACAGTTGTATTGAGTTGTAGTTCATTGGATTGTATTACACAGAGCAAGGTTTTAGTCCATCTTGAGTGGTCAGTCTTGTCACTTAACATTAAATTTAACAAATTCTTAGGTACCTATGAATTGTTTGTTTAGTCCAATCAGATTTTGGTTACAGTGAATAAAACTGGTTTGATGTTTGCAACATTTCCAAAAAGGCTGATGCTGGCATATAATAATTTTGCTGGAAAGAATTTTTTTCTCCAAATGAAAAAGTTGATTAAATCTTTCTTCTTAGATTGATTTTTAATTACTTTCACTTAACATTTTGATTTGGCTGAATTACTTCACCTTTTTGGGTAAATCAAACTTAATTGGATTCAGCCGTTAGAGTTATACCATTGCATTCATAATATATATGCTTTTGAGAGCCATTGCAGTTAAGTTGGAATACCTGTCGGGTTAGATAGGTGTACAAAATGAATGACTGCATTGTCTCTCCAGTGTCATCAGGTGCTCAGGGAGTTGCCATGCCCAGACCAGCTTGGGGAGCAGGGTCTCAGGCAGGTAAGCATACAGTGTCAGGTTGTACAGCGCAGCTAGCTGGTATTTCACTACTCAAAAAATTAACGTTTGTCATGTTTAGAGTGTTTTCCATCAAGCTTTACTCGAGGTTTTAAAGTGAATTTGGTGTTCACTCTCATACTGATTCTTATATTTTGAAACAGGGATCACATCCTCCATACATTTTTGTGTCATTTTCTAGAAGTATTTTAAATCGATCATAGCAAACTGTTAAGTGTGCAAGTATTTCAGATGATATATATATATAACTATATAACCACCTAGTGCATCAGGCTTACTCAAGTCATACATTTGTATAATCTTCTGTATTCCCAGGGTCTCCTGGCAGGGGCCAAGCAAGAGGAAGGGGTATATACAACCCTGGGGCAACCAGGCCACCCCCCGGGTTTGCCAACCCCCCTGTAGGGCGTGGTGCCCCCTGTGCCATGGTGGGACGTGGTTATGCCATTCCCCCAGGAATGGGGCGTGGCTTACTTGGTCAGCCATCACAGGCAATCCGGCTGTCCGGCCCAGTTACTCAGAACGGTAGGGTGTGTTCACTCTGGGTTCAGATGAACCAATGAAATTTGTCTGAACTGTTGCCAAATAGTTTCAATTAGAATTAAGGCAGTTAACTCGTCTGAGTTCTAACTTGGGATAATGACCTTTTAAATATCCTAATTTTTCAACAAAGATCAATCTTTTTGCTCTGATTACACCCATTAATTTCACTTAATTGTATCCAGTTTTAAGTTTAAAAATAATAAATTTTATAAGCGTGTTTACAAACAATGATTAATTATCATAATCATTTATCCTTCTTATTTATTATTTTTTCTTATTTCATTATGTTGCAGATGTCAGTGCAGGTATAGCTAGTCTGGATCTGGAAGCCGACGAGAACTGGGGATAGAAACGGCCTTGACCTCAGCCCACAGCTGCAAGACCTGACTGACACTTTGGTATGGTGTCTGCAACACTTCCCAGAGATTTTGTATCTCTTACCAAAGAGATTTTTATCATTTGTCTTTTAATTGTAGTTGTCACTGTTGTTATTAAGGACCTTTTGTCTCCGAGAGGTTGAGACGTATGAAGTGTTCCAGTATTCTTTTAGTGTAGCAGAAATATGTATCTTTTTCTCTTCATCATCCTTGAATGCTAGAATTTTAACACCGTTAAGGCATCAATTCATTTGTAGGTTTTAAAAAGGAAAAATTAATATTGCTTTAATTGTTGTAAGGATGGTATTTTTATGTTGAAGGACTGTTACAGTTTCTTTGAATATCCCCAAAACCTGCGTCTTTAAACTTCTTCCCCAAATTTCCCAGTTCTTTGAAATGTGAATTAACACATAGTCCAGTTTTACTCTGAAAGGGGTGTGCTTTCTCATATAAAGAAGGGTTTTTAAATAAATGTTGGAAATAAAAGGCGCACTTACTAGGTTTCAGACTTAAAAAAGCATAAGAATTGATCCAGAATGCAACTTGCTTTCCTCTCAACTTGGGAAAATTTCATGTACCACGTGTACCAATTTTTTTTGTAAGTTTTTATTTGAGAGGTTTCTCCACAAACTATATAAGCATTTCTTGGTGGATGAAGTGAACTTTGTCATTTTTATTACACAATTCAGTTCTTGGAAAATACTGCAAGAGGATAACGTGACTGTACTTAAACTTGTACATCTTCACCACTTTTATAATCCTGAAACCTTACTTCGGTGTCAGACTTTAAGTTAATGAAAAATTTATATATATATTTTTTGTTATAACATTTGGTGTTTCTACTATTATAAGTGCAGTAAATACCATAACTTGCTGTAGCCAATATATATGTATATTGTATTTTTCTCATTCGAATGTTTTAATGCACAGTGCAGTTCAAATGAAAATGCAACAAAAGTTTCACAATAAGTTCTCTTTTTATTAGACCATTAATTTGCACCTGTTGGCTGGTAAGGTAAAAGTTGTTAAAATGAATAAATATATTTTATTATAAATCTTATATGATATTACTGAAATATTTCAGAATTACAATTCACGCAAGAAATGGGCACCGTGACTAGTTATGACGCTGACCCACACACTTGGATAGTGACCAATTAATTTTTGTTCTCTTTTGGACTTTTCTAAAAAAATTGACTCTCACGCAAAGCAAGTGTATTTTTAGAGAAAAAAAATCACAGAAGATTAACATGAGGCTATAAAAATGCTTTCTCAAACTGTTCAGAAAGAAGAGATTACATTTCCTAGTGCCCATCAATAAAAGTCTACTTTCTGTTGTATAATGAATACCACCTGGCCACTCTAAAAAAATGTCTAACGAACAGATCATCTCTTTTTAGGAGACATTCTTATCTTAGAATTGTGCTAAACAAAAGATCAAACCAGTATTTTTAAAAACCATATGTTAAAATACTCAGATCCTAGATGACAAGTAGCTATAAATTATTTTGGTTATGAAACATAAAATCTTAATAACCACAAGATCCAGCATATGTTGATAAAAAGTTTAGATTCCAGAAAAAAATGACTATAAAACTCTGTCATGTGAACTTCTAATCCTAAAATCATAAAAGTAAGACAAAAGGTATCTCCAGTACTTTGAAACCCATCATGCTGATAAAAATTTAGATGCTAGAAAATAAAAAACTTAAAAACTGACAGTAACAACAAAATCTTTCATTTGAAATGTACAAGGACTGGTGAGGAGTTATTCCAAGAGCAGTTAATCTCAGGTGAGAGTTGGAAACTTGTAAATGTGCCAATCATCCAAATGTTATACATAATAATATCTTGAAAAATTGTTAAAAGACAAGGCCTTTAGCCTCTATCTTTACTCCTCAGTCAACAAATGCCCTGTATGATGTAAAAAGTAAATTTGGTAGATACTGGGAGCATACTGCCAATGTTGTATAATCTACCCAAACTAATAAAAAATTAAAGACGTCATGTTTGAGTAACTGTGCATAGAGTTAAGGCCTCAGTCTTGTTAAGCTTCTTTTGTAAACTTACAAAATATGTTACGTAAAATTCAACTGCTATTACATAAATCAAAACATGCTCAAATCATATATATCGTTCATATGCAAAACACACCTATCAAAGGACAATTGCACTGAAATGGTAACCGACACTTGACGCGAAAGTTATGTAAAATTCCACTAATTAAACATAACCTAACTTTACCTCCCCTACGTACACCACACACACCTTCATAGCACTAAGATTGTAATTAACACATACAGTCTAGCTAATTTGTAAATTTGCTGACACACTTCCTTGTCAATTAGTTCTGATTTTATAACTACTGGAAAACACCCGTGGTTATACAATGTGGAATGACAGGAAAACAAGTTACACAACATAGAAAATTTGCTGTATAAGTGTCTTCCTGGGGCCCATTTCACACACACACAATATTACTCCCTGAAAAAGAGGGGTAAACTTTTAGGCTAAAATTATTGTTTACTTTGACCTAAGATAAAGTAAAAAAAAATAAATAAATAAAAGCCAGGAAATTGGTTTTAGAGATTGGTTTTAGGCCAATATGTGCTTAATCAGAAATCTTTTATGCTAAACAAGCCTGTAAAGGACCTTTGCACTGAAATGGCAACCTATAGACTTGTTAATTTGAAAAGTAGCTGACACCATTCCATGAAAATTAGTTTTGATTTTATAACAACTGGAAAACATCCAAGTTATGCAACATGAAAAATTTGCAGTGTAGGTGTCTTTCTGGGGCCCATTTCACAAAAAGAAAAATTGGTCTGTACTTTTAGGCTAAAATGACTGTTTACTTTGACTTAAGATAAAGCCAAAAAAATGAAAGCCAGGAAATTGGTCTAATCTTTAAGGCCAACATGTGCTTAATCAGAAAACCCTTTTATGCAGAACAAGCCTGCAAAGGACAACTGCACTTAAATGGTAATCTACAGACTTCTTCATTATTTAATTTGCTGACACCATTTTATGAAAATTAGATTTGATTTTATAACAGGAAAATATCCAAGTTTTATAACATGGACAATTTGGTGTGTAGGTGTCTTTAGGCCCATTTCATGAAAAAAAAAAAATTAAACCTCCAATGGGACTCCATTAAGACTTATTTTTTAGGCTGAAATTATTGTCTACTTTAACCTAAAGTTTAAAAGAAATTAAAGCCAGGAAATTGGTCTAATCTTGAAAGCCAATATGTGCTTAATCAGAAATTTCTTTTATGCAGAACAAGCCTGCAAAGGACTACTGCACTAAAATGGTAATTAACAGACTTGTTAATTTGAAAAGTAGCTGACACCATTCCATGAAAATTAGTTTTGATTTTATAACAGCTGGAAAACATCCAACTTATGCAACATGAAAAATTTGCAGCGTAGGTGTCTTTCTGGGGCCCATTTCACAAAAAGAAAAAAATACATTTAAAATTGGTCTGTACTTTTAGGCTAAAATGACTGTTTACTTTGACTTAAGATAAAGCCAAAAAAATGAAAGCCAGGAAATTGGTCTAATCTTTAAGGCCAACATGTGCTTAATCAGAAAACCCTTTTATGCAGAACAAGCCTGCAAAGGACTACTGTACTAAAATGGCAATTAACAGACTTACAAATTAGAAATATTGTCACCATTTCATGAAAATTAGATTTGATTTTATAACAGGAAAACATCCAAGTTATATAACATAGAAAATTTGCTGTGTAGGTGACTTTCTGGGGCCCATTAAAAAAAAAATTATCCCCTGAGGTCTAATATTTTAGACCAAAATTACGTTGACCTAAGATAAAATAATAAAAAAATTAAAGCCAGAAAATTGGTCTAATCTTTAAAGCCAACATGTACTTAAACAAAAATCCCTTTCATACAAAACAAGCCAGCAACTTCACTGAAATGGTAATTTACAGACTAACTACTTTGTAAATTTGCTGTCCCCATTCCATAAGAATAAGTTTTGATTTTATAACAATAGACAAACAAGTTATACAAGTTCATCTTAGAGCACTTTCAGAACAGCAGACTAAGGGTGCATTCCCAGAGATTTAGATCGATCCAGAGATTAAGATTTAGATCGACCTAACTCCCTGGGGGTTCACGCTAAATTGCAGTCAGCCGAGAGCGCACCATAGTTAATTACCTCCTTACAGCTTTTAGTAGGCAGGATAGACGCTTAAGCCAGCTAAGCTGACAGTAATCTAGTGAGACTCCCCACAAGGATAGATCGATCTAAAATCTATGGAAATGGGGTATAACATTGCATTCACAACAGCAGTTATGCATTCATAACAGCTCCACAAGGGTAAGTTATACATCTACAGTTTACAGATTCAACTTTTTATCTCCAATCCATTTCATCATTGATCATTTTCTCAAAAACAGAAGGAGATTCTGACAGAGAATAACTTTAAAGTTGGTTTGTGCTATATACCTGTACCACAAAAGTGGCCGACAATGTTGTTGTTGCCAAGAGAATGTCACTTTCATCACGTTTTTCCACTGACGATACAAATAATACAAACAATATTGTATAAGTCACTTGTTTCATAAAGGCAATATACTGGCTATGGTTTCATAAGCAGTTTGATAACCAAAACCACTTTTGAAATGTAGAAGATGGTTGTTGGTTAACAAAGCTTTTATTTTACCTGAAGAAACCAAACATGGGATTTGGGGACAAAACATGAAATGAATATTAAATATTCTGCTGTTTGAAGCCATGTCTTTATACTTCAATTTTTCAATAATCAACCTATGAAACTCCTAAATCAAAAACACCTTAAATTTTAAAGCCCATATTATCCTTTGTTTTCTTTAAGGACATAGCTTCAGGAACACACATAATTGGCATTTTCAATTCAAACCAAAATTCAAATTTTAAGGAGGGGTATTGCTTTTTTGAAATATACAATTAATATTTTCCTCAAAATAAAAAAAGCTATAATTCAATGAGTGAGTTCTGAATGAATCAACAGTTATTAAGACCACCATGTCTTCCTGTAGATTTCAGAAGAAGAAAAATGAGTAGTTTTTGCAAGATTTGTAGGCAGAAAATATGACTTGGGACATCTTTAAACATTGATGGTGTACCTTCAAACATAAAAGGCTACCTCCTAAGCAAAGGGGTAGATAAAAGCAAAAAAAATCCCATGTTAGGCTCTTTTTGTGTTAATAGAATTAATTACTTCATATACTGTAATATTTTAGTGAGTATCTAAAATGACACATAATAAACTATGATGTCTCTTAAATAAAATAAGACATATATGCTAAATACATAAATTACCATCACAGGCTAAAATACTATTCTATAGGTTAAAAATGTGTTTGTTAAAATACACATAATTATAAACTTAAGGTTTCACAAAGCTAGTTTAATTTTCTCATAATACTGTAAACTATCATTTTTCCAAAAAAAAGTTGTTCCTTCATAAGCACCTTCTTTTAAATTTTGGCTAAATAAATGTGATAACAGAATCAAGCTGTAAAGCACCAGATTATTCAATTATAATATACAGCTATGGGGAATTCTCCTGGATAACTCCCAGCACAAGGAAACAGACTAATTGCATTTCTGTTGTGCGGCAGTGACTGCATCATGGACAGTAAGGTACACCACTGACATGCTGTTTTTCTCAAAGAATCCAGTTTTGTCCAACAACTCTAGAACACTAGCTGTTAAAAAGATTAAAAAACACCTCTGTCAAAATGTATGTACAAATATGTCATGAAGAGTTACTTTTATCAGAAATTATTTTTATCCTACCCAAATGTTTTTGCAACAAAATTACACCTGTAAGCCAAATCATTTTCATGGAGAGTTCCTTTTTATTCAAATTAGTCAAAGTATTCTACACTAAAGGATACTGACAAATAATTTACAGTAGTTTTTTCAATTAAAAATGCCTCAACTACTTTGATGATCTCCCAATATCTTCTATCTGTGTCCTAGGATTGGGAAGCAAAATCTAAAACTGTCTAGAGGTTGAAATTTGTAAGAAATATGGGTTCAGCAGAAGTGGCATTAGATAAAATGGTGAAAACTACCATACACAAAGATGTTTTACAGTTGTTACTCATGTGTAGATCTGTCCTCAGTAGAACTACGCAATTGACTTATTATTATATCAAATCTCTCTCTCTCTCACACACACACACACACACACACGCGCACTGTTCCAGTTACTTACATTTACAGTTGGCTAGGAATATTGAAATTCCAACATCTCCATACTCTGCCACCACCTGAAATAGTTGAAAAAGTCATATACTTAAAAACAGAAGTTAAACTGAAGGGTGATCGATGCATCTGTGTTAATATTCAACGGTTAACATGTAATGTTGCCAACACATTAGAACATTAATTCACTGCATGAAGTCCAACCAACTGCACTCTCTCTGTGTGTGTGTGTGTGTGTGTATGTGTGTGCGTGTTGCAACTTTTGAAACTAGATCAAGAATAATTATAATGATAATCACAGGTGCCCCCTCCCCAAGTAGCCGAAATCGTTCCCTTTTTTACTGGTCTAATAAGGTTAAATGTGACTTTGACTTTGACCTTTTGCCCTCAAAATTGATAAAATTGTCAAACTAGTTAAACCAAAAGGCATGTGCAAAAATACACTCTACTTTTTGGAATATCTTCAAGGGGGTCATACAAGTAACAATACTGATTAAGCTATTTCAAAGTGCTATAACAAGGGCAAATCCAGAGATATTTTCTGAGTCTTCCAAATTATCTTAGTTGAAACATCCTCCATTTTTGACTGTCTTCCAACAGAAAAAATTAGATACCAGTCAATGTGAACTTGAAAAAATTCTGACAGTCTTCCAGAAGACCCATAAGTTGGTTTCTGTCTGCCCCTGTGTTACTTTATGATCCTGGCCCTCAAACATGCTAAATGACTGATTCAGACCTTCAAAATTATCTTCTTAACAATCCTAAGGAAGACATCCTTACTTGTGTGATAACTTTCGCCCCCAAAGCATCTATGTATGTAAATGCTTCACAATCCAAAATGATATGGTGCACAGGGAGATCTGACTTAGGGCTGTCTGCATCTCCACTATAGGTGTCGCCAGTGGTATCCCCCATCTCTAAGGCAATAGGGACGGTCGTTTGGTCTTCTGCCTGAAAAAATGTGATTTTGAAAAAAATAAAGTAACCAAAGATAATCAAAAGAAGAAAAGTATACCACGATTAACTGTTTGTTTATGGACAAAGTGTCGCATTCTAAACACACTTTTAATACATTCTGTAAACCACTTCTTGTTGAACTTCTCTGAAGACAAGTAGTATGTACTTTTTGGTCATATTTTAACAGATAGGTACCATGCATAAATACCACAAAATACACAATTTTGTCCCTTCTAAATGAACCCTGCAGTCTATCAACCAGCTTGACCCAGTTTGAAAATGTTCGAAATCCACACCCTGGTTTGAGCATTGCAGTTCAAATGGAATACGGCGTAATTTGAAAAAACAATAATTATGACTGGGTTATGGACTTTTAATTTTAGTGGATTTTAAGGACTGTGGTTATTATAAATGACTGGAAAGTAGCATTAAAGGTTGCTTAATTGGACAAAATTACTGTTTCCTTTTCTTGTTAATTTTTTTTGGGGGGTGGGAGGGGGGCTTACACTGTGCACCTTAAACATTATTTTCTAATTTCATTTTATTTATTAAGCTATCCTTCACCAGAAAATGGTTAATGAAATGGTTAAAAAAAACATTTTGAAAACATCATTATATGCATTTAAATCTAATCAGATAAAAACATAATAAAAGTGAATGTTCTCTTGTCATTTTGGTTGAAGTATCTCTTTATAAAAAATTAATTAAAAAAAATATACACAGTTACAGGGGAGAGCAATTTTTATACAGGTGATATCATATAAAAAACTACATGTGAATTTCAATTTTCTCCCCTTTTCTAACATCCCATTTCCATAGATTTTTAGATCGATCTATCCCTGTGGGGAGTCTCACTAGATTACTGTCAGCTTGGCCGGCTTAAGCGTCTGTCCCGCCTACTAAAAGCTGTAAGGGGGTAATTAACTATGGTGCCTGCTCGGCTGACTGCAATTTAGCGTGAACCCCCAGGGAGTTAGGTCGATCTAAAACTTAATCTTTAGATCGATCTAAATCTCTGGGAAAGCACCCTAAAACTAAACTTGGTATCTACATTAGTGTTATAAGAAATGTTATGAAGAATTTCAAGTTCCATTATAATTATATGCATTGTAATAATTTGTTAAACGTAGAAAAGAGAGTGATTACAGTATTTAATACTGAGATGTCAAAGTGAATTTCTGAAGTATAGGCATTACCAGGCTGTCTGCAAAGTCAGCAGCGACTACAGTACATCACATAACTCCAGTAAGTATAGTTGCTGATAAAGGAAATAAAAGGCTCAGTTAGATAAGTTGCTAAAAGAAACAAATTATTACTCAGTTGGATTAGTTGCGCATGAAAGAAATATTCATCCTTGAAACAAACAATGACAGAAACATTAACATATGGAGAAATACTTCTGCACATGTACAAGTGCATAACCAAGCATACTTTATCAGGTAAAGCCTGTGCTTTAGTTGTCTGTTCTGCGTCGAAATTCTTCACGTCTTCTGCCTGGAAAAAATGAGTATTATTTGGAAAAACAAATTAATATGAACAGAGCCAGTATGAGTTTTTTGTGGGACTATTCTTCACTCTGCTCATTTCACATTATTTTCTTATTTTATCATATTTAAATATTTGTCACAATGGTGAACATGAATGAAACATTACATAAAACATCATTATTTGCATTACAACATAATCTTTTACAAAACTTTTAAGAAAGCCATAAAATTAAATGTTCTTTTGTGATTTTGGCTGTAGTTGATCTCAATTAAAACTTTTCATGTCTACAAAAATATCTGTAAGAAGGCTAACTACCACTGACTAAAGTAGAGAACTAAGTAGATAAGTCACTGACAGTAAAGACTGTTATGGGGGCTATGCTTTATTTTTAGTTAAAGGGATAACAACTCTTCATTTAAGACACATATCTCTCAATGAATAAATTGTAACCAACTCATAGACATAAAATAAATTCTATTTTACCACCAAAACCGCGATTATTCTGGAATCTGTGCTTGCCATCTGACCACCTCCATATATGACTACCCTCTGTTATGGTCTCTCAAATAATTATTTAAAAACAGACTACCTTTGAATGTGAGGAACAGATTCATTAACCAATGGTAAGTATGGGAAAATTGTCATCTACCGCAGGAAAATCCATTTTATGACCAAAATAAACAGCTGTTATTCCTTTCATTGTCTGTAAGCTGGGTGTGTATGAATATTTGTTCTTCCAGGGACACCCAGTATAAAGGCAATGACTGATGACTGAGAAAATATGATAAGAGGTATCAATGGAAATAACTCAGTGATGTAGTTTAAGCTCTGCCTTAAAGATGTACTTTGATGTGTCAGGAGTACTGACTAAATGAAGGAGAAAAAGTAGAAAGCAATTAGTGATGAAATCTATACCCTAACCCCATTTTACTTGAAGCCTGTTTTTTATTTTTTTAAACCATTTTCATTCATGAAAACTAAACTGAGTACGCACATTGGTGTTTATTATAAGAAATGTTAGGGAGGATTTGACATTCCATTAATTTATACATGTAGTATGTAGTAGCATTTGTATTATGGAGAGTTTAGAGTTGTTTTTTCTTTAGTATAGGCTTTATTAATCTGTCTGCAATGTCAGCAGTACATCAAAAATTCCAGTTAGAATAGTTGCTATTTAAAGAAACAAAGGCTCTGTCAGATTAGTTGCAAATAACAGAATCATTCATCTTAAAGCAAACACACAAATGACAGACACATAAAAACATACTGACACATGCACACATGAACCAAGCATACTTTATCACGCGGAGCATCTGCTTGAGTAGTCTGATCTGCGTCAGACTTCTTCATGTTGTTTGCCTGGAAAACATTGAACAAATTTTGAAAACAAAACCACACAGCAGTGGGGTTTTCAAAAAATACATGAATTTTTATCGCAGACATAAAATTTAACAAAAAATTAACATCTACAAAGTGGTTCATGGTAATTTGTTGAACACATGCTAATTTTTTATACATGATAACATAAATACCTATGTAACAAACAAGGGAATGACAAAATCTTAGCAAAATTAATATGTACACATACTGGTGCACAAACATAACTGTATGCACAAATGCACTGGCATGCACTTAAAGTCACTTTAACACAAACACATACTTTATCCAGAGAAGCCTGCACTTCAGTAGCCTTCTCTGTATCAGACTTATTCATGTCTTTCGCCTGAAAAAAATTGTATTCAATTTTGGGAAAAAATACATTTATATGAACAGAGTAAAAATAGACTGGTCCATGGTAATTATGTATTTATTTTCTTTAACAGACACTAAACAGATGAAATAAACAACTTTGAAAGAAAAAAGCAAATGACAGCAACATAAAATATGTACTGATACACACAAATAACCAAGCATACTTTATCAAGTGAAGCCTGTGCTTCAGTTGCCTGTTCTGTATCAGATTTCTTCACTTCTTCTGCCTGAAAATTGTAATTTATTCATTTGGATAAAAATTAACTAATATCAACAAAGTAAAAAAAGAGTAATGGAAATGAGGATATCCACTGCATATCTATGTATGCTTATTTTCTTTAACTGCCTCCGCACAGATGATATAACCAACTTAGAAAGAAGCAAAATACCAAACATCATTTAAAAAAAAATAAAAAACAGGTACACATAAACATACATATAAACACTTAATACATAAATAAACAAAAATATAAATAAATATATAAATAAACCTACATCATCATTGGTGACCTGTGCTTTAATATTCTTCTCAGAATTAAACTTCTTTTTCTTGGCTTCTTTCTTGCTCCTTTCTGCCTTGATGGCCAGTGGGTCTACTCCAGTCAGCCTAAATATACTGTCCATGAAGTGCTGGGCATTGGCATAGTACAGGACTGACTCATAGTGGAAGATCTTCACCCCAGATGGAAGCTCTTCAACCTAGAATAACAGGGCATATAGTGACTATGGGTGCTTTCCCAGAGATTTAGATCAATCTAAAGATTAAGATTTAGATCGATATAACTCCCTGGGGGTTCACGCTAAATTGCAGTCAGCCAAGCGGGCATCATAGTTAATTACCCCCTTACAGCTTTTAGTAGGCGGGACAGACGCTTAAGCCAGCCAAGCTGACAGTAATCTATTGAGACTCCCCACAGGGATAGATTGATCTAAAAATCTATGGAAATGGGGTGTATGATGGAAATTCATCTGTGTTGTTTCAAAACCTTGGAACTAGTTAGTCCGCACAGTTACATTGGGAATGGACCCTTAGACAATCTATTATAATGTCACAGTGGTACTGAAATACAGCGAATAATGAGGACAGATTATAAAAAGCACTTTCAAAAAGAAATAATGGAACCACATGGCACCGTTTTTGTACTAGTATGGCGGCTACATGTGGGCACCAGATATCACATGGCTTGTTTAGGTAACCTGGACCTTCAGCACAACCCTTGTTTATTTAAACACAGTTTATTTAAATTACAGTTGAACAAATCACACATAAATAGCACAAAATCTAAGTTTATAAATGACATAAAATGCAGAGAAAACTAAATTTGTGCAAGATCCACATAACAACAGAAAACTACGCAAGAGTAACCAACCCACCTTTCTGTAATATTTTGGATCTCTGTAGAAATCGGTACATGCAATATGTCCATATACACTAGCCTTTGGCCTGAAAAGAAAAAAAATTATACAGATTACAATACCCAACAGACAGGCAGACAGACAGACAGGCAAAGCAACACACAAGCTTAAGCATGCGCACATTTAAGCAAGCATAACTTTAACTTAAATTTCATTATTTCTGTCCCATGTCATATATAAATACTAGTAACTAATAAACAGTATTAAATTAAGTAGAGGATAAACTGATAACTAACTTGGAACATGTAAATCATTTTCCGCTATCAATAATTGATTCTGATGCCAGATGTAATTATGTTATTAGCACATTCTTAAATAAAAGTGTTATACAATCAACTTGTATATTTTTGCCTTAATG